TGGAAACCAAGCGGCAAATACGACTGGTACCACTCAGCTTACTCAGGACTGTGCTCTTTCCACAACGAAATTCGCCTTTCTTCTAGAACTGCAACCTTTAAATATTCCAATCAAACAAAACCTCGTTTTTCTACCTGGCCGCTATTTTTTCAATTAAACAATAAAGAAAAAAGTTAGGAATAACTTTACTGGAACTATCGAACTACTTAGTAGTAAAAATGCCCTATTTGTCGCTTTATGAAAGGCAGACACCACGAATCCCATCTCCGCTACTTGGCGAAAATAACTCGTCAAAAACTTCCCTGCCCGACACTAACAAAGCCAAAACTTCAATGCGTCTTTTATCAGCTGATCATACGTTGCCTTCTACTTCAAAGGATATAAAAATTCTACCTACTGCTGCTATTGATGCTACAGAGAAGCCAGTAGTTCAGGATAAAAAACCAAAATATGATACAACAGCTGTTAAAACGTCCAGCTCAAATTGCCATGCTGCTGATGAAGCGACCGAAAAAAATAGGTCAATAAAGTATTTCAAATCTAAATTGCAAACAACGGATGTATCAGAGACAAAACCGGCTCATGAAAAAGAAAAGTTTAAGGAAGCACTGCTAACAACAACGTACAGGTATAAAAAACTAAAAAATTTTTTAGTTTTTTATTTTTTTTAATCTGCAAATTAGTTATCGAAAATTAGATCAATAGAAAATTAGAAGAAATGTTTGCATTGACTAATGAGCAGAAATACACCTTTATTCAGATTAAATGTCTTAAACGTTTGAAAATTTTGTCTCTATCAGTTTACTTTTGTCATTTTAGGAAAAAAAATGAGTTCGCAAAGCTTTTCGCTTCTTACTAAGTCACTACTTCTTTTATGCTGTGTTGCTGCTTTGACAACAGAAAAAATGCTTGACTTTTTTAAATTCAACAGTTTTTCGTACTTCCTCTTATTACCGTTAAGTTAGCAGATCTGCGTAAATCTCTCTACAAGCCAAAAGGAGATGACTCGGTAAGTAAGACAAGTTTTTAGCCTGTTAAGGTTGAGCGTTTTATAAAATTATCTTATAAAAGTGATATTTTGACTTTATTCTAAAGTAAATATTTTTTAAATGCTACTTTATAAAATCTTGTTGTTCTAAAGCGCCGAAAATCTTGCATTTATTAAATATCTATAGCATTAGTGCTTAATACTGTAAGCTTTTCCTGTCACTGTGACCGAGAAAAATTACTAGAGGTTTTTTAACTCTCTCCATAGAACAAATTCAGTGCTTAACAAGTATTGATAAATTACATTAGAAACCAAAGTTAAAAGAACATTATAATAAGTTATCTACCGCCATTGACTAAGTAAAAAGAGATAGCTTTTGTAACTTTTAGCAAAAAAGATCAGTGCATTTAAATACAAGGTTCTTTTTCGTTTTTCTCGCAAAACGAAACAGAAAAAAAGACATTAGAAACTTTTGTTGAATTATTCAGCTGACTGTTTGTTTGAATTTCGTCTCTTCTTAGAAGTTTTTATTTGGAGAATATTCTTGTTATTAGAAGCATGTTGAACTTTTAAAGCATTTTCCCGGTGTTATGATTGTCTCAAAATATTCTTTTTTTCTACCGCTGTGTCTTAATTAAACGATATTTTGAAGAGGAATCCCGCGTATCGTTGTTGTTGAAATACCACCGGAGGAAAAGCTGATTAACAAGTCTTGGCTGCTGAATCCAAAAAAGCCACCGAAAAAGTCGAACGAACCTTACATTGAGCGGGTACCGATAGAAGTTGACAATTATTCAGTTGATATGTATCGTTCAAGATCGCTTGATTTCTGCGATGTTCTAAAGTAATTTCTTGAAAATTTTTGCATTAATTTGTTTCTTATTATATTTACACTTTTTGGCCCTTTTTTTGCTATCTTTCAGTTGCGCTTGCCTTTTAAATTTTTCATCCTCACCATCACCGAAATGAATTTGAAGTTGCGATGAGTTTTAGATGACCAGAAGCCAAACTGTCGGCAGCAAAGTTATTTTTTGCCTGTCACCAGAGTGTGCCATCTCCATTCGTTCCCCCTCTGCTCCAATTTTTTTAAAAAAATAACTAAGAAGAACATTCTCACTTAGTTGTCTCAGATGATTTTTTGTCACTTTTGAGAGTCATCGCTTTCTGGCTTTCTCAAAAAAACAGGCGGTACTCAGTCTGGATTGTTTGTCATCAGCTAAGAATCAACGGTATACAATGTCGACGAAACATGTTTGAGAGTTTTAGCTAGCGAACCTGAACAACCTCTTTATCCACTAGGCTAAAATAGCAGATATGACTGTAGTGTCTCAGTTTTTTTGGTTCACAACTTTTTAAAATTTTAATCTCAAAATTAGAGCAGGATACAGGTAGATGAGCTTTTTTTTTCATTATTTTTGTTGGCTAAGTAATTCTTGAATTGAGTGGTTCTGCGAAAACTAACTGAGACGCTTAAAGTAAACTCGTCTTCAACTTCAGAGATAAAGAGACTAATCTTTTTAATCTTTTTTTAAGTGTTGACAGCTGTCTCAACATTTAGTTGCAAATAACAGCGTAAGAAGATTTTATTACGAAAAGCTAGTGAAACAAGCTTAGTTTTGTTGTTGAAATTAGCTTTGCTTTTTCTCTAAACAACTACAACGCCACAAATTTCATTCTTCCGCCAAAATATTCTTTTGATTTTTTGAACAAACAGTCGTTCTTTGAAAATGATGAATCTATGTTAACGCAGGGCAGCAATTATAAAGTCTTTTTTCATTTATAATATTGAACTTAATCATTAAATTCACAGTTTAATTTTTAAATAAGTCAATAATAAATTACAGTCGCCACCTCTTTTATAATTAAGGATGTTTATTTGACAATCTTACCTGCATATCGTATTTTTCTGAAACGTAAAGTTTGGTAAAATGAAGAAGTTGTTTAGTATTAGAATAACATAGGTTTTCTGTAAAATATCTTGGCAAAAAAATAAGAAAACTTAAATATTATTGATGCTGAAAGTCGCGTCGACTCAGACTTAGATTTTCTTAGCAAATAAGGCGGCTTTTGAGATGAAGAACAGTTGGTTGGGTAATCTGAAACACGTAGCCTCAAGAATAATGTTCAGCTTTATTGAGTTGTGTAAACACTTTACGCTTGTCAAATCTACCATTTGAAAGGTTCTATTGTCTTTCATAGGCTACTCGACTGAACCGCTGCTTATTTTTTTAGAAGGAGAACAATTTTTATGTTAAAAAATTTCTAACTGATTGTAGGCTGGGTTCAAAAAAGTAGGGAACTTCGTTCTTGATAGAATTTTTCCTCGCAAATAAACATGGAAAAAGTTGAGCTTGGAAATTTTTGATGGACTGAGGAACTAGTTTTGCAATTGGTCTTAATTGATTAATGTTAAATTTAAAAAAACTCAAATTATATTTTTGATTATATTTTAATTTTATGTTTCAATTCATTATATATTTCACATTTATAAAGTTTTTTATTGCTTTCAATTTTAAATAATATTAGTAATATCTTATACAATCTGCTGCACTTCTAACATTAAGATTTCGACAGTTTTGTTATTACATCAGCTTGCCAGGAAATGAGTGAATTGTACAAAAATAGATTGGTTGAGCATAGAACAATGTTATCAAAATTCTGACAGTGTGCGCGGAATGGAAAGCATAAATTTATATAATGTCTTTTGTGAAACTGAATGTGTAATTGAGTTTTTAAAACCAATATTCTTTTAATTACTTTATTCTACTCCACTGCTCTGAAGCAATTAATGACGCGTGTTTCATTTGTTGTTTTAGCGGTTTTTAAATAACAATCCTTCTAAGCAATTTTATCAAACAGTTACCCTTATCATCTTTCTTCTTGTTATATTTTTTGATAAATAAAATTTTAGAGAAAGTTACCTCTCGAGATGGTCGCGAGAAAATACTCCAATTGACTCCCAAGACCAGTATGAAAGAGCTGTACGAAGATCCTATACCCCAGTGCGGGAGGTTGGAGCTTATCGGGTATTTCCTCTTAATATAGCTAAAAATTTTCTTATGCAAGTTTCTAGTTTAAACTTGCTTTACACTGGTTTTTTGTTTTTTATTGATTTTAAATTTACAACAAATGATGTATTCTTAATGGTTACCCAGTTCTAAAATTGTCATCTAAGCAGACAAGAAATATGGGCCCAACGTACACCAAAATGAGTAAAATGTTGCTTTATTTCTTTTTCAAAATTGTTGTTAAAAATTGACAGTTTCCAATTTGTTTTTCTTGAGACGTTGTTGAAATTATTATATTCTGTTTATTTGTTCTCGAACTGGTTTTTAACCAAATGAAAATAGTTGTATATAAAGCGCAGTTGATATAGACTGAGAGAGCACTTTAGCCGCGCAAATACCTCTAATTGAAATCTGACTGTTCCACTTCCAGTACGTGGGAGACGATAGGAAACCTATAACGAGAAGGCGAATCCGAACACCGCTAGGTGTTGTAACTACGCCTTACCATACTAACTACAGATATTACCAGGAGCAACAACCATTTAGGAAATATGACATATTTCAAGTTCGAACTTGGGCTTATCCAATCTACAAGTGGGTACAATACCTTCTAAAGTTTTTTAGAGCTTAAAGTTTTTTGAAAATTTTTTAGGTAAAAAATATTGTTGATTTAATTTATTTCAGCTAAATAGCGCAGTATATTTTACGCAAAGTATTACTAAAAAGTTCTACTCTGAGTGTAAATACTTCTTTTTTATATCATACTATAAAAAAATTTTTAATGTTTACTTTAAAATAAACTAGTGAGGCTTGCATTTCAAAGCTAAATTTACTTTTTTACCACACATTTACTATCTCTTCAGTAAACCTATCAAAGTTTGCTTCAATATTCAAAAGCGTCATTGTCAAATAAATTCTTTGATCCACACCACCACATTTTTATTATAACTAAAAATTTTTTTTGTTTTAAAAGTCATCTTTATATTTTTACTGTAGGTAAAAATTTCCTGTTTCACAAGTCATTTTTAAGTTTTCAATAAAAAAATGAACGAAAATCTTTCTGTGTCGCATAGAACTTAGTTGAAGTTTTTTCTTAGCTTATAGCTCGTTTCTGATTTTTTATGACAATGATATTTTCTAAAGAAGAAAGGCTAAAGTATAATGGCTCCTATTCACTTTTAAAACAAATTCTTTCTACCACCTCTGCGTAACTGTGTAGAGCAAGCGCAATAATAAGAGGTAAATTTTTGATTTTAAACTATAGTAACTTTTCCTTAATGGTAGTTATTTTTCCGACTTTTTATCCAAGAGTACTTGAGGGTAGCAGAGAAAGTATTACAAGGACAAGATCACACAAGTTAGTCAGAAAAGAAATTGGTAAAGAAATAAAAGCGAAGAAAAAAAATGTTTTTCTGACTCTGCACTCTTTTTTTTAAAGCAATTTTTTCAATAAATTTGATTTTAAAAGTTTCGCTTGAAAAAAACAAGACAGAAGATGATTATATTACTATATAACAAATTTTTACGAATTTACATTCTTGTAGAGGCAGAATCAGAATTGGAGAAGAGGAAAAGTGAAAGGGTTAAGAATGGAAAGTGCGGGAAAAAAGAGATTGGTGCTTTCCTCTTAGCAAAAAAAAGTTTTTTACCATTTGAATGTTAAATTTTTGTATAAAATTTAGCCAGATATTCTTCACCATAAATTGCTTTTTTTATTGGAACCTTTGCTTTTAAATATTATGAATAAATTGTTTTTTTCAGGAGAAAAACAGAAATACAATATATTTTTTTTCTTAAGAACACTGCCGCAAGTGCTCCAACAAAAACGTTTTTAAACATTAGCGTGGCTGTAATTATATTTTAAATTTGCTCAAATTCTGATGATTTATCAAAGAGTTGGTCGCTAGAACTGCCAAACCCATCCGGAACAAAACTTTTTTATAATATGTACACTTTCCTCATCAAAAGCAAGTGGTCAAATATAAACACTTTTGCAAAATTTATTTAAGATAAATAAACATAGCACAAAAAAAGAGTTTCTTAAATTTGGAAAACTTTCCGAAGCTTAAGACGTTTGACGCTTTTGATCCTGCTTTTTTATCTGTAAATTCATAAACCTCTCTATAAACCTTACCGAACCTCTAAAATAAATTGCTTTTACACGCTTTTAAGAGTCTGTTGTTGTTGTATCTAATCTTTTAATTACTTTTGACTTGGCTCTGTGTTATAATTCGTTTATCTTTGAGCACATCCAATTGCACATTTTTAAGAGAAGTTTCAGGTTAGCTAAGTAGATTTCTTGTTTCCCCCGTCAGTGCTCTAAAAAAGCTCAGAAATTTAAAAGCACATTCTATATTGTTTAAATCCATTTACTTTTTCTAATTCCACCTCTAACTTGCAAACATCTTTCAACTGACCAAACTTCAACTATTGGTTTGTGAGCACCAGATGCTGTTTCTTTCTTCAGTCTTTTTTTTATTTTCACTCCTCCATCTTCTACCCAATGCTGATGCATCTTTTTACACGTATCTTTGCATCTTCCTAAGTCCTTTGCGGTTTCAGAAAAAGTAAACCTATCACACTCCGATAACTGAAAGCAAACCGCTTAAGCGCATTTTCCGTCTCTAACAGAAGTCAAAAAAATATAAGAATGACAAAGAAGCGTAGTTGAGCGGGAGAATCAGAGAAAGGAACAGTTAGCCAACAGTCTTGGCAAAGAAAAGCAATGACTTACTTCATTTCCTGGCATGATAGGCAAAACAGATTACAAGAGATGTATTAGAAGAGTCATAATCGAAAGCAAAAAATTTTAATTAAGTTTCTTCATTAACAGTTTTTGCGAGTTTGATATTATCACTAAAGTTTTTTCCTGAACCCATTATTCCAGAAGCTGAAAAATTTTTTTGTTCTGTTTTCAAATAATGTATAACAACTGGTTATTAAACTTTAAAAAGTTTTCATTTTTAAGAATGCTTTACTTTTTTAAGCTATGGTCATTTTTTGGCATTTTAAACATTGAGCTTTTCAAGTCAGCTAATTATCCTTTATTTGTATAAAGTTGATCAAAAACAGTTTACAAAATAAGTGCCTAAAAAAAGTTTTATTTCAATTTGCCCAGTTTTTGGTGTTATTTTTCAAATAACTATTTCCAAGAACTTGCTTTCTATTTAGTATCGATTCATCAAACAGTAGCTTTCTTCACAATACTTGATAAACTCAGTTTTTTTCCTTTTTTCATTTGAATCGTATACAGTATCAAAAACTCTGCTGGACCAAGGGAGGAAAGTAATTTATGCGAACTATCATTTTTCTAAGATTTACAGTAAGTAGTAAGAACAGTTTTGTCACATAAAAGTAGCAATAGGTTTGAAGTACTCTTGAAATAATTTGCTACTGCATTGACGGAAGGCAAAGTTTTATTCCAAAATGACACTGTCTTCTTTGCTCGTCATCACTAACACCCCCACTTCACAGAATGTTTTTTCCTTTGTTAAATTACTTCATTTTAGCCTTATCTTAAGTTTGGCCTACTATACATCTATCGGTACAACGCTATTTTTACAAGATATTTTTGTGCAGGGAAACTGCGTAGTTAGCTGTTAACGAGAAAAGAACAAGACATAGCTGTTTTTCTATGAAACAGCAACTGTAAAGAATTTGTTCTCAATGTATTTATAATCTAGCACCTACTATCGATTAGTTTTTCTAAATTGCTGATTAGTATTAGCATTTGTGTATGAAGCTTTGAAAACTAGCAAATTTAATTCCCAAGTGAACCAGCAAAGAACAGCAGGTTCTGTGTGCTTAACTCGTTCATCAGTCATAAAATTACACAACGAGCTGTTTTTTCCTCCTAAAAATTCAAAAAGTTTGCTTGCGAAAAAGAAAGACAACATGAAGAAGCTAGCACTTTCTTTTGAAATTTCTCTCCCAACAGAAAGTTCAGAAAATATGGGTAACCTTGCCAAAACTGACTGTACAATGCTCCTAACAAATATTTAAAATTAAGTCACAAAGACAAAAAAGCCTGTTAGTTCATTGCTTCACAGAAACTTTAATAGTGCAGGTTAAAAAAATGAAGCAGATGTTTTCTCTACTTTCATTTTTCTATTTGATGTTATGAACGAAATAAATGTTGCTAAAAAATCTTTTAAAGCGTTGCCTATCACATTTGTTGTTGTAAAAGTTTCTTACATCAATTCTGCACTTTCCAATACAACGTACAGCGTAGAATTTTTGAAATGAACATAAAAGAAAAAAGAAGCAAACACAATGTTTGTATTGTCTCAAAACTTTGAAATCAACCAATTATCCTTGGTGAAAGCACCTGCTGCAACATCATACGGCCTGAGGTTCAAAAACTTTCCTCTAAGATTCTGCTTGTGCACATTTGTTCGAGTCAATAGTCTTTATCGTTCCTCTTTTTCTGAGTTACTTTGTTGCGCTGCCGTAGTTATGTATTATTGATTATGATCTTTTTATCGCTTACTGGACCGAATTTATAATAAACTAATTGTTAGAAATCACTAATGATGACAGCAGATCAGTATCATCACCCGTTTGATGATGGAAAAACTGTTGACTCATTAATTCAAACATGGGCTTTTTTCCCATATGTGTAAGTTATTTTTCCGATTATTTTATCTACACATGCTGTTAAAGACATTTCTGTAACCAACTTTTTCAATCTGTAAAGTGTTTTTAAACACCGATCACCACTTGCATTTATGACTGTTCGTTCTTAAACTAAACCGTGAACGTCGGTCATCTAATCATCTAACTATGTCCTTTGTTTTCACTGTTTCTCCTTTTGCTTGGTGGCAACAAAAGAGTTGGTTGCGAGGTGTGCTAACAACATCGGCACATTTGTTTTGAAACATTTCTAAAATACCAAACATTAAAACTGTTTCTGTCATTCGATGCTAACCGACTGAATAGATCTGCTTTATTTTTTTTTTTGCTTATTTTTTTTCCAGGTATTTTAAGAAAAACGTGTTTATTAACTTATTGAAGATTATTAATACTCAGAGAGCGGAAAAATAAAAAAATTTTGCAAACAATAATTGCAGATGTGTAAAAACCCTACTTTTAGAAGCTAGAGAAAATGCGAAAAATGGTTGACTAGAGCGTTGCTAGAATGATTTATTAAACCAAAAAAAAACTTTGCTTCACAGACCTTTTTTGAAAGAATTAGTCAAAAGTAGATCATCTTCTTGCTGAATAGATACTAAATATGTCAATGTAGCTTTATTACTATCTTCTTCCAGTATATAAAAATAGTGGAGAAAATTCAGCTTTTTCGACTGTCTCTATTTAACTGTTCCTTTTTATAAATGATAGAGACCTTTCAAAGTTCTATAAAATGTTTGCAACAGGTTGTGTATTTAGTTTACGTTACACTTTCTTTGAAAGGAACTTTCTGTCAAAGTTCAAGCTAGTAACGCTGTCGCTGCAGATATGATCACTGACAAGAGAACAGAGATTCAGAAGCTGGTCTTGGTTTGCACAAGTGTTTTATTCTTTATTTGTTTTATCCTAACAATTCTTTAACTGGTCTTTAATTTGAGTATAAATCTAATAAGAGAAACATCAAAAAATTTTTTTTGCTGATTGCTACGTAGCTGGCAGCTCAAAAAGATCTAAAACAGTTGCTAAAAGCCTTAAAAAGAAGCCAGAAAACCAAATGAACAATTTGGAAGTAGCAAATTATGTCAATGTTTTCTTAAAAAAACCTAATAAAATTTCAAAATTCTCTCATACTAATTAAACGTTTAATTCAAAGTTTAGAAATTATACATTAATGAACGACGTTGAAAAATCTTTGTAATTCTTATAAACAGTTGACCGCAATTACACTTCACAATGAGTTTAATTTTTCGTTTTCAGAATAATGTTTATCATTTTAACTGTTCTAAAATGTTTTTTCTTTGTTTATTCAAGCATGTAGCTCAGGAATGTCTGGATCAGACTACAAGGGTTATTGCAGTTCAGGACTTGTAAAGTCCGTAGCCGTCAGACACTTAAGAAACTTACTCAAAATCTTTGACTTTCTTTAAAATTTCCGTAATGACTGCAGCCTCGTCTAAATCTGTGACGGTCGTCGTGATTTTGTCATGTGTTTTCCAATCTAAATAGTCTTATTTAGTACCAAACTATAATAGACAAACATCAACGTTGACTGCTCATTATTAGGCAACTGCACACTTGCAAATTTGCATGCTGCGATTCATCGTATAGCACTTAAAACTCGAAAGACTTTATATTACTTCTAAACGGTAGTTACTGTCACAGTTTACGTTAAATATAGTGTTTTTTATTTAGATTCTTTTAAAAGCTACTTTTTCTTCCATATGCGAACGAAACTGTTTTTGTATAGTTGACTAACCAAATTCCTTACAATTTCAAACTCTCAATTGCGAAGCGTAAAAAGACGTCTCTAGATGAAATCTTAGCTGTTATCTGTACAAGTAAAGCTGTACATTCACTTTACTGAAGAGGAAAACTGCAGCAGTAGTCAAACCGAGACCGAATGTTTACTGACACTTAAATTTCATCGTTTAGCGCAGCAATGACTTAAAAAAACTGGTGTCATTGATACAAATGAAATTTCAAACTTCGCTTATCGCTATTTTTGTACATTTCTAAGAGCAATTGTCTCATCTGTATTTCGCTAATTGCACTTTTTTTACCACTAACATCGAAGAACTGTTACTACCAGCGGCCAATGGTAGACTATAAAGAAGTAATTTAAGTAGCAACACCAATGTTCTTTGTCAGTCTGTAAGTACAAATCGAAAAAAAATAGTTATTTTTTTCATTCGCTAAACCAGATAAAAAAAACAAAATGTTTTTTTTTTCTTTTGACTTTTTTCTTTGCTGTACCTTTTTATTCTTGCTACAGATCAAGATCTAAATTAATCTTTGTTTTTGAATAATGACATTTTTAGTCAATTTTTGTTGTTTTTAACGTTCTTTAACTGTAGTGAACGAGGCTAATACCGTATAAAACTGGACTCCAATCTCTTTTCTCTTTATACTGCTGCAACTTTCCCAGTCTTTGTGAAGAAAGCATTGTTCAAGTGCTACTGATAAATATACATAGGTAATCTTCAAACGTTATGCGACTAGATGTATACATGAGAAAAAGAAAACTGTCAGCAAACTGACGTTACTTTTTGATCTAAGCGGAGCACAGCAACAAGAACGCGGCCTAATCACAGTTTACTACTGAACACCACCGGACACTGACGGCAACAAAAACATTTACTTATAACAAAAAAATCACTGTCTCCCTTTATTTTAGCACAATAGTTCTCAAAAAAGCTATTTTGTAGGGCACAAAACCGGCAACGCTACAGAGGGCTACCATTAGTGCAAATAGTTACAACTAGAACGCAATTAAGCAGTAATTAAGCAAAGAAGTACAAAACACAGGAAAAAAATTTTCTTCTCTGATTTTATGCTCAACAGTACTGTAGTTTAAAAGTCAAAGCTTTTAAATTTTTCTGTACTTCTAACTTAAAAAGTCTTTTATTATTAATATAATAAAAAGTTTAATCTTTAATCTAATCTGAATAATTTAGCCTATAAAATCTGTTTTATTTATAGTAAGCACATCAGTTAGCAAACTTTATCAACAAGCCTATGTAGTAGTGGCAGATCAAATAACAAAAAGCTATGATTTGTGACCGATGAAAGTACATAATACATGATGTTTTTACAACAGTCGTTGTTTGTCGTAGAATACATACGAAGTTTGATTAACGAATTAAGTAAATATAAAACTCAGACTTCTGATATTATGTTTATACAATATATAGAACTCACACCAAAATGTTTCGGCCGATTGTATTTTTGTTACTTTTACTGTTATAATTAGAAAAAGTCTTTGTCTGGAAAAAAAAAGAGAAACTGTTATTTCAAATAAAGCTGCAAACTTAAATACAAATCTATAAGCTTAAAAAAGAAAGAAAAGAAGAATCTGCATCAAATTTTTAAACAGCTGATGTTCATCTAATGTAAACACGTTGACAAAAAAAATCTTACTCACGACAGATATTTGGTTCTAAGAGATCCCTCTTTTTTAAAAAACAAATATTTAAGGGACAAGTGGCGTTTGAAATTATCCAACTGGTAAATTTAGCTACAGTTTACAGATAGCGACCCTAGCTTCGAAATCCAGTGTCGTCTTAGGCTTGTTATACTAAATAGGAGATCTCGTTGACTGACTTTTTGAAATCTGGACTAAACGACTTTAACTATTAATTGTTCGTTACTCTATTCTCGAGTTTGCGCTTGAGAATCACTTTTGAATCAACTGTCTTCAACGTGCGGCAGAAAAAGTTTTCTTTGGTTTTCAGTTCATAACTTGAAAAAATATTGTACCATCTTTACTTTTGGTCTTTTTTTTTCTAAGTTTTCTACCAACTTTTCCCTTTGCCAAATGGTTGAGTTTGCATTGTTGGATTACAATTTTTCTGAAGCGCTTGGGAGGTTCACTTACATCCCCCAAGACATTGGGGAAACGACAGCAGACTTGAAAAGGTCAAGAAATATTTTATTGTAAAAAAGCGCCGTTTTTTCTTCTGTAATAGAAATAAGCATTTGTAATTTTAAAAGAAACAAGTAAAGAACTACCTCCAGTTAACTTACTATAATTTGGTTTTTCTTTTGAGGAATGGCGTAACTAATATACTTAATGTCACAGATACCTTCACGGACGTGACCACCTGTCCACAAGGCCTTATTCATATACCCGCGTCTATGGCAATTCTCCGCTATACACTCCGCCGAAAATTGCTGCAGAACCTCGATCGATGACTTCAAGCCGTAGTTATTCTGGTTACGTTTATATGGCTGGCGAACACAGCTTTGATGTAGCATCTAGGCCACGATCTCTTGACCACTATCAATTTTGGAGATCACATATTACCAGGTAATAATGACCACAATATCTTCTTGTCAGTTCAGGTTATTTCAACAAATACTTACTATTAATCGCTGCACC